ACAACATCCTAATTCTGCACCAAATTCTTTATAGACTTTGTAAAGTTATCACATAGTGGGTATTTTTACTTTTAAGAACCCTGGTAACAATTCTACCTTATAAATCTAGCTATACTAGAGGATGTACACTGGTACAGATAGGAACTGGAAACGCAGGGAATCCAGGACAGATGAACCCTTCAGGACCAGTGGTGAGAGTGGCAACACCAGGAGGGTGAAAGGAAGGTGGGCTAGAAAGGGGGAACCGATTACAAGGATCTACATATAACCCCCTCCCTGGGGGACTGACGACAGAAAAGTGGGTGAAGGGAGACATCGGACAGTGTAAGGCATGACAAAATAATAATAATTTATAATTATCAAGGGTTCATGTGAGAGGCGGGGAGGGAGTGGAAATATGAGGAAATGATACCAAGAGCTCAAGTAGAAAGCAAATATTTTGAGAATAATGAGGGCAACAAATGTACAAATGTGCTTGACACAATGGTGTATTTATATATTATGATAAGAGTTGTATGAGTCCCCAATAAAATGATTTTTAAAACAACGAACCCTAATAACTTCGGCCATATATTTGGAGAATTCAGCTCCAGACTATCATAGTAAAATGAGTATCACAATACAGCAAGTCCAATGAATTTTTTGGCTTCCCAGTGCATGTTGAACATTGAATAAGGAAGACAGAAGAAGAAGTGATGCATTTGAATTGTGATGATGACAAAGAATATTGAAAGTAACATGGAAAACCAAAAGGATAAACAAGCCTTTCTTGAATGAAGGTATGGCCAGAGTGCTCCTCAGAGGCAAGGACGGTGAGATGTTGTCTTACATACTTTGGACATATTGTCAAGAGAGACCAGTCCCTGGAGAAGGACATCATGCTTGGTAAAGTAGAGGGGCAGCAAAAAGAGGAAGACCCTCCACAAGATGGATTGACATCGTGCCTGCAAGAATGGGCTCAACACAGGACCGTGCAGTGTTTTAATCTGCTATGCATAGGGTTGCTATAGGCCATAACTGACTCTATGACACTTAACAACAATAACAACAGTGCATGTAAAAGCTATGTTTACACTATACTATAGTCTATATAGTGTGAAATATCATTATGAAAAAGAAGAGAGGGCAGTGTTTCATTATCTTGTACATAGGGTTGCTATGAGTTGGAACCAACTAGACAGCATGTAACAATAACAACAATAACATATTTTAACTCCCCTTGCTTTAATGCCAAGAGGAGCCCTGGGTTAAATACAGCTAGAAAAATGATCTGAGTTTTCAAATGGGAAAAAACAATTTTTAATTGAAATATTGTTACAAGTAACTTTGTGACAATATTTTTAACGTGTGATGTAATCTTAATGTATATTACTCACTGCCATTGAGTCAATTCTGACTCATAGTCACCATATAGGACTGGGTAGAACTGGTCCTGGAAGTTTCTGAGACTGTAATCATTTGCAGGGGTAGAAAGCCCCTTCTTTCTCCTGAGGAATACCTGGTGATTTTGAACCACAGACCTTGTGGATCACAGTATAATGCATAACCATTACACCACCAAGGTTCTAGTGTATGTTAAATGTTGATATAATGTTAAAAATATTGTTGAACTATTGTAAAATAATGTTTAAACTATTGTTAAAATTACCAAATGTGACACAAAAACATGAAGTGAGCACACACTATTGGGAAAGTGACACCAACAGATTTTTTCAATGCAGAGTTGCCACAAACATCCAGTTTCTAAAGAACACATTATCTGTGAAATGCAATAAAGCCTTGTTGAATAAAATGAGCTGTGCCTATAATAGCAGGCCAACAATTGTACATTACCTCTACCATCATTTGAGAAAGATAATAAATCAGATAGAAGTGAGATAGAAGCAACTTACTCATTTGTTTATTCCACTCCTGCTTATATCTGTAATCTAAACTATACAAGTGAGCCACAGTCCTGTTTTAATGATTCCTTCTATATCCATATTTGACAAACTTCAACTACTTCTGTCCCTATTAAGTATTATTTAAAACATTGAACCCATTATTCTACTTCTAATGGCATTTTACTTATAAATGTATGAGTATGTAACTATGTATTGGTGTGTTTTTTATGAACACATAAATACATATACAGAAACCCAGTATGTATGTATGTGTATACACATGCACATTTATATACTCACACATTCATGACTATGGAACAGTGAATAAACATTTATGCTTATGTTGTATATGAATTGCAACAGCAGTGACCCTAGTGCACTATATTAAATGCGCTGATGTTTTTAATGACTTTGGAAAACAAAAAGAAGATATCAAATGCCTCCAAATATAAGTTACAATGTTACAGTACGTTTACTGCCTGAAAGGCAAGATTAGAAAAGAGAACATTTTATAGGTTAATTTCTTCTTACCAGTAAGCCTTTTGTATGATAGATTGCAAGCCTATTTATCACAAACAAAATCCAAACATCTTTCAAGATTCATAGAGTTTATAAATATTTTAATAATTTTCCATCCAAATATCACATTATTAATAGACCTCTAGGCCCAGAAGAGGAAAAAAACTTGTCCAAAATCACATAGTAAGTTAGTGGTGAGACTGAACAAAGATCCAAGTCTTGTGACTTTAATGTCCAAGTCTTGTGACTTTCAACTCAGTGCTCTCTTTGTTAAGTGCATGGATAATTTTATTCAGCATAGGTTTCCCTCTGTAATTTCAATGCCCACTACAATACCTGGTATATAATAGAAGCTCAGCAAATGTTAATGTGCACTAACAATGATTGTCCTAGGCATTTAACTTTAAAAAGAAGCAAACCAAAACTCACTACCATTGAGTCAATTCTGACTTATAAAGCATGCCTAGATAACATCAGGATAAATCATCAAAGAGAAGAGAAACGATCAAAGTTGTCAAGGATTTTGCCTTGCTTGAATCCATTATCATTGCTCAGCAGGAGACTAAACAATGCACTGCATTGGGTACATTTGCTGCTAAGTCATCTTTAAAATGTTGAAAAGTGAATGTATAAGTTGGACACTGAATAAGGGAAATCAAAGAAGAATGGATGCATTGAAATTATGGTACTGGCAATGAATACTGAAAGCACCATGGAATGGACTGCCAAAAGAATAAACAAATCTATCTTGGAAGAAGTACATCCAGAAAGCCCCTTAGAAGCAAGGATGCTGAGACTTTATTACACATACCAGTCCCTGGGGAAAAAATATCATGCTTGGCAAAGTTGAGGAGCAGTGATAAAGAGAAAGACTTACGACAGTATGCAACAATGGGCTCAAACTTAACAATTGTGAAGGTGGTACAGAACAGGACAATGTTTCATAGGGTCTCTAAGAGTTGGAACCCACTCGCTGACACCTAACTGCAACAACATCTTTTAAGTCCCATTACTTTAATGCCATGAAGCACCTGGGAAAACATAAAATATGCGTAGAAAAAATATCCGAGTTTTCAAATAGCAAAATCTCAGTTTTATGCATTTTCCATTACAACCTCCTTCATTTCATAAGTGAAATCAAATGGAAGAAGTAAAGCCAGAGTGTTCCTTAGAGGTAATGATGGCAAGACTTCATCTTACATACTTTGGGCATATTGTCAGGAGAGACTAGTCCCTGAAGAAGAACATCATGTTTGGTAAAGTGGAGGGGTGGCGAAAAATAGTACCTCCCTCAAGGAGATGTATTGACACCATAGCTGAGTCAATGGGTTCAGACATAAGAACAATTGTGAGGATGGCACAGGACCAGGCAGTGTTTTGATCTGTTGTGCATACAGTCATTATGGGTTAGAGCTGACTCAGTGGCATCTAACAACAACAATATTGTGTAGGGTATCCTTCTCTGAGGGTGCCCTGGTCACTTAATCTGAACCAAAAGAATAGGATGTAGGACCTGCCTTGTAGGAGCTGACCCTGAAAGGCACTATTGCACCCATAGCACCCTCCTTACTATGCACATATTGCAGTCAGACTTAAAACTGCAGCAGAAAAAAGGTGCACTATATTATGTGTTCTACATACTTATACAATTATGAGTACAAATATGTGGTATGATTGAAAGTGTTGGCCTAGAAGCTTTAATTTTCTCATCTGTTAAATGAAGGTGATAATAGTACCTATCTCAAAACAAAGTTAAAGTGGTTTGCAAAACTCCTAATACTCTCATAGTAGCTGCTCAATAAATGGTCTTTTTCTTCCTTTAGGATCCTCTAATTCATTGGAATTTTCAGACAAGCTATTCCTAGGAGCTTATTTTAAAATGAAAGCATTATACTGGATTGCCATTTATAGGTTCTTTGACAAAAGGAGGCAGGAAGAAAATAAAAATGGAAAAGAAGACAGAATTCTTTATTATAATGTGCTAATAACATGTTCTTACAAGTAGCTTATAAATGTACTTTGCTGACCTGGTGACGACATCAAATACCCTACAAATGCCTGTGTTCTCTATGTCGAATTGGTAATTGCTACCAAAATCAAGTTCAAAACATTTTCTTCCTTCTTGAACTCTTTGATTTTTTTTGTAGCCCACAAGGTTAGTGATATGATCACTAACAAATTAAAAATAATTAACAATCTCATGGAGTTCTCTTTTGTAAATGTTATACCTGTAAGGTGTCTATGACAATAAAAATCTGTTAGTTCAACTATGACTTTAAATATGATTAAATGCACTAGTTGGAAGAAACAGTGAGTACAAGTCAGCTGTGCCGTTTAATCATTTCTTCACATTCTGCTTTCCTAGTTTTTAGTGAAGGTAGAGGATCTTATTTAAAATAAAAAAGAGTAGTCTTATTAATGAAGGTCTCAGTAGAACCTGATTAAAAAACACCTATAAAATCAAGCAATATGACATTAAATTAAACTAACCCTTTTCATAGTTTCCATGTGGTCAAATTCTCAGCAGACAAGCCATTTTTGCTAATATTCAAGAAGAAACATTAACAAGTCTGTCTGTTCTTGTATTTGCTTTCCCAGGGAAGCAGAAGTACCTGTGTGCCAGCAGAAATGATTGCACCATCGATAAATTCCGAAGGAAAAATTGTCCATCTTGTCGCCTCCGGAAATGTTATGAAGCAGGGATGACTCTGGGAGGTATGATACTTTTCCTTTTCTTTGGCTTTTTCCCTCCTCTTCTCCCTATGTCTTTCCTTTTTTCTCCATGTCTTTAAACCCTATGTTTGACTTTGATGATTCCAAAGAATTCAGCCAATCTCTAGGCTCAGGTTAACTCCTTTATCTATAGGCAGGCCACTTCCAATTTCAGGGCTTGGCATAGGAGCAAGATGTGAAGCAGGTATTAGCACTCAATAAAGAGTAGTAAATTTGGACATGAGTGGGCAGAGCTCCCTAAGGGACTTAATGACACCAACCTGATATTGTTAAAATGTGGCTAGAATGAGAGAATTAAGGAATTCAGAGTAGTCGCAGGTGCAGGGTGACCCAGGCACAGACTGGCCCTGAATACCCAGGAATATCATTCATTTAACTGCTACTTATGTCATAGGACTAGCCACTTGGAATGAGAAGCCTGTGACTAGGCTGCCAAATAGAGCCAATTTCATGTCCTGCACTCTCCCATCTATGAACGGCCTTATTAATAATTTCTTTTTTTTTTTTGCAAATCTATTGATCATTTCCAAAAACATATTTTTAGTACCAGAATAGCTTGACAGGAAAAATAGCTCTTTAAAGGGCAACTCTCCATCATAAAATCCTCTGTTCCTTGGACCTACCTCTATCATGAGCACTGTCAGCATTCCAGGAGGACTTGGCACTAGTTAACCCACACTTACATTTTTTCCTTCTAAAATCTTCATCTCCTCATATTTACATCTGTCCAGCACCAGGGTTTTCCGTGCTACCAACTGCTTTCAAAAAGTATCTGCATTTTTCATGAGGAAAAAGATCTACTTTGGCATAGAAATTAAACTTGAAGAAAGGCAAACCTATTTCTGGGTGCCTAAAACTATAGTCCCATGCCTGATTACTCATTATCAGCTTGGAAAATCCGAAAGACTAGAATTCAACCCTCCCCTCATAGGGCTAATTTAGAGCAATTGTCCATCTCTGACTGTCTATGTGATATACAATACCTTGTTTGCCAATGTGCATATTTACAAAAGCCAACCTGTTCCCTAACCCTGACACATGGCTATATATGGGCTATGTGTGGACAACTGCATCAGCTCCTGCTGATAAGCCAGTATCACTCTCTAAAATGGACAAAGTACTATTTAAACAAAGGCATCTCAAATAATTTCTAGTACTCCCAGACACCGCAGGCAGATGCTCTATGAGTGGCTTTCCAAATGAAACTCAATATATGAGAAAAGCCAACCTTGTTTTTCTTGCCTCACTTAAGAATTATCTTACTGTTGTGGACTTCAGTAGGAAGGAAAAAGCAGCACTGTGATTCGGGAGGGCTCTTGGGCAGCTAGGTAAGATAACAGGGATTGACAGGGAGACAATATCTTCATATGGATGTTCCAACACCACAGTGAGGGGATCTGATAAACTCAAATCTCTATTTGCCTTCTATGAATTATCTGTAAGAGATGCAAACTCCTAATAGGGAACCCTTTGGCTTGCCATCTGCTAATATGAGTTACAAGCCTTTTTTTGATAAAGGTTAAATTTAATAGGGAGTGATGAAAGTCTTCATAATTATCTGAGTCCCTGGCATTTTCTTCCATCACATACCAGTCTGCGATACTCCAGTGAACCTCTATATCACAGACAAGTCCAGTACTTCATATAGCTTTCAGGTATAAGTTTGAAAACTAATTTATTGGAGTGGTACAATAAGGTTTCAAATTGATTAATTGGATAGGCTGCTCTGATTTGAGTGAACTAGTCAATACAATGAAGAAAAGTTGAAAAGTGTTGTGGCTGGCTTTCATTTCAGTTCCATTGCCCTGACATTTACTGAGTACCTGCTATGTACAGGTAGGTTATAAAGCAGATTTAGAAGTAGGTTATAAAGTCCCAGCATCTTTATTTATTGTGTACCCCTTTGAATCCTCAATTTTCATCTATTTTTTAGATATCTCGCTCACAGAACAATAATGAAGACCAGATGGTTTAAGGAATATGACTATCCTTGATAAACCACAAATTAGATGAATGTGGAAGCTCATTATTACAGTGAAGTCAATAGCACTTTTACTGTTAAAGTTTTCACAGAACTTCCCAGTTAACTTTTATCCTGAGTTACTTAGGAGGCCAATATAACATGTGACAATTTCAACAGGCAGAGCAGCACCAAAATTCATTTTTGATCTCTTCAAATTAAAAAACACCACCATGATACTGTTTAGAACATGATTTTAGTAATTTAGGGAATCATATGTTCCAGTACTATGTCAGCAAAAAACCTAGTATGTACTCTCAGATACTGCTTAAAAAATAACCCTTTTACTAATTTCCATATACCTTGAGATATATATATATATACTTACTTGATATATATACAACATATAGATGAATATATATACTCTATATATATACCTACTATAAATTCCTTCAAAGTTTCTTGTTAAGACCAGTGGTGAGAGTGGTGATACTGAGATGGTGGAGGGAGGGTGGGGTAGAAAGGGGGAACCGATTACAGGGATCTACATATAACTTCTTCCCTGGGGGATGGACAACAGAAAAGTGGGTGAAAGGAGACATTGGACAGTGTAAGATATGACAAAATAATAATTTATAAATTATCAAGGGTTCATGAGGGAGAGGGGAGCGGGGAGGGAGTGGTAAAAATGAGGAGCTGATGCCAGGGGCTTTACGTGGAGAGCAAATATTTTGAGAATGATGAGGGCAATGAATGTACAAATGTGCTTTATACAATTGGTGTATGTATGGATTGTGATAAGAGTTGTATGAGCCCCCAATAAAAATGATTTTAAAAAGAATGAAAAAAAAGAAAGAAAAAAATGAGAACATAGAAAAAGATAGAAAATAAAATAAAAAGGAAAAAAGAAAGCATCAATTGAGAGTGTCTCTTCTGATTACTTTAGGAGTATACGTCCATAAGATTTAGATTCAGCATAGACATTTCAATTACCTTGAAAAAGAATTCACATAATTTCATTCCCTTCTTCCCATCACTCAAAATTGCTAATAATCTGAAATGGCAAATAACAATATGGCTCTTGGGCAGTGGACTTGACCAAGGAACTTTGTAATGCTGAAATTTTTATTCCAATATCTAAACCCACACAGAAAATAGTTTATCAGCCCTGTTTTAGCTTATCAAACCTTTTCTATTTTATACATAATCAAGAATTAAGTACTTTGATTTGCATAGCAATTTAGTTACCACTATTTACAGTTTTACTCACCACTATGTGTCTAATAATACACTCGATGCATAGACTATTGAGCAAATGGAGAGCAGAAGACTCTTTTCTCTATCTTAAAGAAGCTGACAGTAACTTCTTTAACTGATAACTGCTTAGGCCTCAGGTTCTCTAATATGGGTTTCTCCATAATGTCCCATCTATAGTTTGGTGATTGTATCTCCTCAACTTAGAGCTTCTTAATGCATATAATTTTCCTTCCCAATTCAAGGCCTACCTATTTGTTCATTGCATCGTTTTTAACCAGATGTTGATGCTTCTGAAATGAACTTGAGATTGGTTAGATTCTCAGGATGGTTCCATTATAGACTACCTCTACGATCTCAGCTACCCACACATCTTTTATTGCATATAGTTTATTTCTGTCTGTTTTAAAAAGCAACATCTTGCTAATTTGATTCAGAATTTCAAATCTCTTACTTACTTTTATTTACGAAAACACTTATAAATATAACTGTCCACATAAGTACATTCCCCCGAGTGCAGCTATCTCTGACGCTTTTTTCACAACCCATATTTAGAACAAATTCATACACATCTCTTGCTTTCTCTGCAGTTCAAAAGGATTTGGTTCCACTTTCCAAGATAGAAAATAAAAGAATTTCCCTTCCTGTTAACTGTCCCTCTGACCTTTCCTTTCTCTCTATTTCCCCTTCTCTCTTTCCCAAATACTTCGTCTTTGTGTTTTGCCACTCTTGTGTTCTTGGCTTTTAGTAAATTGGCCCCTGCTTACTCTCCCCTATCCCAGACCTTAAAAGATCACAGTCCTTTCAGGAATTTCAGGTAGCCTACAAACACAGAAGAGAAAGAAAATTGACACAGTGTGTGTGAGTATCTGAGGTGTGCAGCATTTCTTTCTAAGATTACTCTAGCACATTTGAGAAATCAATCTCCTTTGAGGAAACTGAACTCATATGCGACTTCAAACTTTGAAACAGGATTCTCTAGTTAGGAAGGTGGCTCAGGGTGTCCTCTGGCCATGGTCTGATATTGTCATGACACTATCTTTAGGTTTCAGTATTGAAGATGGTCATAAAGTCAGCTGTTACATCGTTCTTCATACTCAAGAGCAACCCAGCATCGCTATCTCTGGATACAATGTCCTGGATGTAAGAGAGTGATTCTATTGTTAAAATACTATCTATGGCATGATCTTCACAAAACAAGATTCACTGCATTGATTCATTCAACCATCTCTTCCATTTATTAGGGGCTCATACAATTTATTGGGGGCTCGTTGATTCAACCATCTCTTCCATTTATTATGGGCTCATACAACTGTTATCGCAATCCATACACACATCAATTGTGTAAAGCACATTTGTACATCATTCTCAAAACATTTTCTCTCCACTTAAACCCCCGACATTAGGTCCTCATTTTTCCCCTCCCTCCCTGCTCCCCCTCCC